GAGAACTACAGTGTAAGTTAGATATTCTTAAACATAATTATTTAACTTGGCAAACCAATTTTCTCACAGTGTCCCACAGTACAGATAACACTACAGACCAAGTTTTATAGTAAAAGCCAAAATAGAACTTCCCAGCAAATTTAAATTATGAAAGAAATACAAGTATTTACATTATTAAACAATATTTCCTTCAGAAAGTGGTATTACGTGCTCCTAATTATTAAGATGTATAATAACTTTTGCACAGCAAACCCATAAAACATATAAAGCAAATCCCTTTTAAAAATCCTCTTTAGAAAAAAAAAGTTCATCCAAAAAAAAAAAACCAACCACCGTTACAACACCATCTACAAAATTGTTTTCATAAGGGTCTTTATCACAGATCTGAAAATATCTCCCTCTAAATGACAAGTAAAACGGCTGCACTCTTGAAGTTACCAAATACTGAAAAGTATTTGGTATCATAAAGTATATCATAAAACATATGGGAAAGTTCAGTCCCACTGTGAAAAGTTAGCCTACACCATATTCTGACACTTGCACATAAAAGTTGTCTTAGTACATATGTCTTGTGTAAACATATACGTGTACATATACATGTCTTAGTTTTAACTAAGAGGGAAGTTACAACCACTTTTTTTTTTTTTTCATAGTTTGTGCTAAACATTAAGGTATTTAATGGTACTTACCTTGCTGAAATCAACTGTGCTGTTTTCTCTGCTTCCTCCTGTCCCAGTACCTTTAACATCTCCACTTTTCCCTGTGTCTAGATTTCCAGGTGCTGACTGTGGAGATGCTAATAGCCCTAAATTAAAACAAAGGAGGCAAGTTCAAAATTGTGTATGAAGTGAACCGAGTATGTGACACTTCCAAAACTCAACGTGGCAGCTTGCTTAAAGCAAATGTGCAAGTTATTCAGTAAGAGTGCCCTACATTAGTATCATAAATACAACATTAACAAATTGTGTTGTCAAAATAATGACATAATGTAAAAAATTAAATATTGCCTAAATGATGGCCATTTGCAGAACAGTCACCAGAAAACAAGAGCTACTTTAATTGCAGAAAATATAACAACTGTTGACATTTTAATCGTAACCGCTTTAGTAGATAGTAGATAGCATCTTCACCATATTTAGAAGTCCTCAAACACCAAAAGCAAACACCTCTGCTATCTAGTCTGCTGTGCAGCAGTTATTTCAATTGCAAAAAGCCTCGTCAAGCCTCAGGCTACAACTATCAGGAATGATACCTCGGTAGTGAACTAACCCGTACAAGCAAATAGTGTACTACATGAAGGATAGACAGCTTGCAAACCCTGATTTCAATCAACAGACCAAAGCTCCAACTATTGTTCTGACCAGATGTTACCATATAAAATGCTCTAACACATTAGCTAAAGAGGAAGTTATTCAAGTTAAAGATACAGCTTCCCTCTAACATCTGCACCAACACGAAACAGCTGTATGTAGCTCGCTGTGCTACTAGCGACACTGAACTGCAAGTTCAGTGAAGGGTGCGAAAGGCAGGTAACCCAGGTGTTCATACACACTGAATTCCATGTTGCACCATGGTTATCCCTATCCAACTATCATTTAAAAGCTGGTCGAGGCACGCAAAACCAAACCCAATCCCATCTTTAGGATTACAGAGCTTTTACTTATTCAGTTTAACATGCACTAAAAGTGCATTCGGCCTTGCTTGTCTACACTAGACCTTTCAGATGTGGTGATAAAACATGCGTCAACATGCTTTCAAAACCACATCTAGACACAGATTAAAGTCTAAACTTTGTATTACATGCAGAAAGTTTGTATTTAGGTCAAGCATCATGCTAGTCGTGATAAAGCTGGCTACCTTTTAGCTATTGTTCTATCATAACTACTGCTACATAACTACTTGCATCCCTCCATGATTATAATGTAGTAATTTGACTTTTTTAGCATTTTAAATGACAAACGAATTCACTTTATTTAAGCCCCAAATTTATTTCCAAAAAAACTCTTTCAAAGAGCCATCATATCAATGGGAAACATGCAGGTCCAAGCCTTTACCATTAATTTTCGTTCTTACAGTTCATAGGGATATAAGTGGTGTGGGTAGTTTTTCCTGAAGCGAAAACCAAATGAAGTTAATAAGCTGTAATTTCCTGTGTGAATCTTAACATGCACAAGTAATTAGGTAACACTATAAATACTATGTTCAGTTAGCTAGACAAAAAAAAAAAAAATGAAAAAAAAAATCACATTCTACCCTTCTGCTCCAACATGTATGCATTATTCACAAGAAAAACTAACAGCAATCAACCACCTGTGAAATCAGCTGTTTAAAGTACTTAACTGCATAACAGTTGATGTTAAGATGTGTTTGTGGGACTAGAAATAAAACAGAAATATTAAACAGTTGTTGCAGAAGATGACCATAATATAAAAGTCTATACATATAAACTTTTTTCACTTTTTCCTCTCCCTACATAAAAATTAAGGTAGCTGAAGATGTGTATGACTGATGAAAAGATGAGCAATAATGCATCATTTTGCACTTTTCACTGTGTGTGCAAGAGCAAGCAGAGACTAGAACAAAAAGTGGAAAGTCAAACAAGGAGGAGGACAGAGAATAAGGATTCTACATATTAGCAAACACTAATTCATTATTTCAGTATTGAAGTTATACGGTTTCTCCTAAAAGGTTTGCCTTCAAAGTTTCTCCAACTGGTCACAGTTACGGTCCACAAGTTTTGGCACTGATACAGGAACATTTGTCTGATCCTAAACCATGTATAAACAGTTTTCCTTTCTGTCGGTCTTGCAGTTGGACAGACCGCTGCGTTCACAAGACAATACTGCTTACAGGTTTTCAGACCTGAGCAAGCATTTCCACGTGATACTGCATTTCATTATGCATATCAATCAATCAGACATTTGCAGGGAAACTCAGAATAAAAAATTATCATCTCCAATAGCAAACTAGTTTTACTCTCATCTCAGACTAATAAAAGAACTTATTTTCTTCTCTTCTCCAATTCAGTAGCTACAAATTCAGAGGCCACTGCTAGAAGGAAATCTACCTAGCAGTTTTTCCAGACTGTGAGACAGAGAAATTCATCTAGTCTTACCAAGCTACTGAGGGGATCATTAAAAATAAACAGTACTCTTCTTGATGTTGTTAGGCAGATAAAACACCTGCCTCCTTCAAAATACAACAGTGGATTTAGTCTTGAGTAAGTTTGGATTAATACCTTGTAAGATCACTCAAATTAAAGTACTTATAGCTACACCTTCACTGAAGATCATGTGAATTTTCTAGCCAACTACACTTAGTTTAATAAAGTGATCACAAAAATCTAATTAACATTATCTACTGGAAAAAGAAAGCAAGAAGAATACAGACATTTGCCCCACACCTCTGCTTCAGTAAAAGAAAAATAAGTTGGGGAAACAAGATGAGTTCAACACCTAAGCATAACTACTCTAATATAATTAAGTGCATATAGACAAAATTTATGAAATACAAAAATTTTAAATACAAAGTCAGACCATATTTATATTTGAGGAAATAAGAATCAATTTTTTAAAATAAATTCCAGTGCAGCCTTATGTGCGAAAAAGAAAAAAATTACTCCTAGAAGGCAAATATGTAAACCTTTCTGAATTACTATTTTCATTAAGTAATTATTGCAAGAGCAAAGCTGTACTAAATATTATTTTACTAGGTTTCAAAGTACATTTATCAGTGAATCAAAAGACCCCTTAAAACAGGCTGCTTTGTTGCTGTTCACAGACATTAAGAAAGCTTAATGATGCTGGTGAATTAACAGTGTCCATCTTTAGCTGTGACACAGCTCTCTTCCTAGCTGTACCTATAGAATTAATAATTCAACAGTTTCAAAGATGGGAAAACAAAAGCTGTTCTTCAACTGATGACAAAAGAAAAAAAAATGTTAAAGAGAACTCTTTGCCCAGTTGACTTACTATGAAGAGATTAATAAAAAGTGGTAGACTGAAAGTGTGTCCCTCTTTGCTCCTTTGACAGTAATTCATGTTAAGTTCAGTAACCTTCCAGCTAAGGACTAAAACATAAAGTCTGAATAGCACAAGACCAAGGACAGATGAATGCTAAACAGAAGAAAGCCACCTATTAGAGAATAAACACAGTTCCTAATGCCCACAGGAGGCAAACCCAACTCAATCATGCAGACGTGGTTGCAATATTCTGAATTACCAGAGCAGTAATACAGACCACAATCTATAGTGGAACAGAACAAGATGACACTCTTTTTTTTTTTTTCTTCTTTTATAATTAATACAAGGAAGATGACCTCCTCTTCAGGGTTTCCTTCTGAGTCTGTCTCCCAAGACAGAGATTAGTCCAGTTACGGCCCTGAAGTCATAGTCTGAGAATGTCTTCAAAGGCATCTCTAAGGAAAATGTGTCTTTCTGTGGTCAGATGATTTCTTGAATTAAAAAGGGGGGAAAACTCCAGAAAACAAAAATGTCTTCCATCATTATTGGTGTTCGTCTTTCTCTGAGAAGACATTTATTTATGGATTGACTGGGAAATCATCCCTTTCAGATTTTCCCTTGATTAGAAACATCCCCTTGGGGCACAAAAGCAATTTGAACATGACTTGGAGATTCTGGTGGAAAGCTTTACCAGTGATAATAATAGCATCAAGTACTTGATTTTCATTTGTTTGCCTTCCCTTGGGTTCTAAAGACCTTGGGTCTGGCATCTTGTCATTCCTGTCAGACGAGCAGAAAAATGAGAAATGGAAAACCAATTATAGCTGTTATTTTACTTCTGTTTTTTAACTACCTTTGAAAGATAACCCATAAGAAAGAATGATCTTCATGTCAATTCTCTTAATTTTCCGTAAGGAAGTCAGAGAAAGAGGTCTTTGTTTACCTTTCTGAATTCAAGTAAAGATGGTGGCTCTACTCAACTCAAGATGACAGACTACAACGTAGTTTGCTCTTTTCTTTTCTGTGACTTGACTGCAAAATGTGAAAAGGCAGATAACCACAGCCTTTTCTCTGTTGGCCTGTTTTCACTGCTCTATGTAGCACTGTGCTCTTACTTATTAAACAAGTGAGGAAGGAAACTAATAAACGCCTCATAGATGAAAGAGCTGAGTGAAATAACCTTACGCCCACAAATAGACATAGGCATAAAGCAGACAAACCTACAAGCTAGATTTTGGCAAGAAAAATTTCTGGGAAGAAAAGGAAAAACAAAAAAGCAGGAGCAGCCTGAAGGCTAAAAAGAACGGTGATCCCCTTAAAAACATGATCTATCTAGAAGAATCCTAAAGTCTCTACATAGGTGATAATTTTGCAAAAGTAAAGCAAGTATAACAATATGTAGGCAGAACACACAAGTTACAAAACACTTACTAAAAATGATTAAAGAAACCTTCAGAACTTTCCATCCTTTCTCTCATCTATACATCTACACACCTTTTTACATGTAAAGAACAACAGTTTTGCCGATAACAAATTACCAAATTGCTGAGCTCTGACCTACAAAATAAACTCTTAACCACCTTATCCTATTTTGCATTATCAAACACAACAAAAGAGTATCAAGTGACTGATGCTGAAGCAGTCCACTAATGGATAGCTACCTGGAAACTGAAGGTGAACTGAACCTACCAGTTCCATCATAAACTACTACTGGTTTTAACAGCCCTGGGTTTTAAAAGCACAAAAGCAAAAGTAAAACTGCTTAAAGACTTCATGATACAACTAAACTACAAACATCACTGATAATTGCATCCTTCCTAATTCTTTTCATATTCTTCTCTAATATTTCACTATGTCTTTGGCTGTAGCTATCTCTGGTTACCAAACACTGGTTTAAAATATTAACTCAACCACTGACAAAAACAACAAAGCAAAATCTGACATGGACTGTAGGTGAGTGAAAGGAAAAGGCCACCATTTTTGACATTTTGCTTATACATTTTTAAACCATATTCCTTTTTAATTACACAAATGAAGGTTAATTAAAGATTTTTTTTTGCTGGCTTAAGTTAAAAGCTACAAAGTTAAAAATGCCAAACAAGGAAACAGTCACAACTGAGAAGAAATAAAACATGCAGGCAGAGGTAACAGTTATCATATTCCTTTGTGCCCAAGTTATGTGCCAAAAACATCGCAATGCAAGTGATCCAGATGCAGAGAGCATCACACATGGACAGCTTAAATTTTGATAGTTGCCTGGTGTTTTGTCAATATTTTCCTCTGTCTTCTTTTCCTGGCTTTCCTGAACTTCTAAGTCCTCCTCAGGTGGGTGGATTATTACTGAAGGAATATCATCACTGGCAGGTGACACCAGCAATTCCTTGCCCTGAAGTGGACTTGGCTGGGCACCTGTGGTTGGCGGGTGGCTGCAGGTAGGACTGGAGGGTGGTGTGTTTTGAGGGGTAGTTACAGGGGTGGTAGACCTTGAGGTTGCCGGGGTTCCAGCTCTTGAAGAAGGAAGAAGGTAATTGAGAAGAACTGACAAACGGCTTTCTCCTCTCAGGGAAATGTTTGAGGCAGAGAGACCTGTTCGCAAAGAGTGGCGGGAGGCTGAAAGGCCTTCCCCTGAGATAAAACAAATGAAACACCATGAGGCTTACAACAGGGATACACTAGAAAAACACAGACACCAATATGCATTAACAATTTACATAGTAAATTGCAAGCTTTACGGGCCAAAAGTGTCATACTCATGCAAGTAAGACAAGAGATAAGAGCAAATCTGATTTCAGACATTAGAAAAGTTAGAGATTACTGACGAGCACTAATTAGAACGCCAAAGATATGTGGGAGAAGATATTATCTTAAAGTCAGTAAGATTTGTTAATATAACAAAAAAAAAAATTGTATCTCTTGAAACTGACTCTTAAATTTTCCGAGAAGAATTTCTCACTCCAAATTGCACAGCAGCTACCTTTAAGGCCATCCAAAAAATACATTAAAAAAAATCATTAGCAGCCAAAACATTACAAGACTTCACAGTTAACTGCATCCTTTATATACAAAGAACTGTTAATTTCTAAATTAAAATATTTCAAAAAGAACATGAACAAACATACCTAGCTGTCTTCCAATAAAAGTCTTGTTTAAATAAGAAGTTTCCTAGTCAGCTGTAGCCTCAATGTATAGTTTTGAAGAGCCCCATCTCCCTTTCTTCTTACTGTGACTTAACAAATATCCCCACCTGCCTAAAATCAAACACGTTTCTCCAAAATCAAATGTTACTTTTCTTGCCCTATCCAGTTTCAATGTCCCACTAATTTCATATAAAAAGTGTTCTTGTCATGGTGCCTTCAGATTTATGTTTGTAATGGATTTCAGTTCTTCCTTAAGCAGTAAGAGAGACAGTCTATCTTTGTATCAGTACGCACTTCCATTACGGTTTAGCAATACCATTCCTCCCGTTTACCACTAACAGTTTTCCTGGGATGGCAGTCTCCTTGAGAAGAGTACTGCTTACTTATCCTACAATCCCTGAAATCAAAAACGTGCTGGTTTTATGTACCATGCCACCAAGCAAGGAAACAGCAAACTAGACACGTTTAGTCTCACATTTATACTAGGCACTACAGAGACCAATACGTTGAACAACCTAGAATAATTTACAAGAAGGAGGTGCAGAAAGTATGCCTAGGTAAGGGTCACATACATTTTCCCCCCCACTCTAAAAATGGAAGAGTGGATCCTATAGATACAAACTTGATTCAAATTAAGAAAGAAAGCCTCAAAGATCCGCTATTAAAACTGCAGTGCAGTAAAGATGAGGATCAATAAAGCAAACTGGTTGATTTTTGTCTAGATTAATGACTACACCAATAACTAGACTTCTGTCAGTATATCTGTGATGAACATGAACACGAGGAGCCTAAAAAGTATTACGCAGATATGTGTGTTTGGTTTACCAGTTTATTAGAGGGTAACCATAGGATTATAAAGAAAAAGTAAATCAGTACACACTGGCAAAGAGTTCATCGTGTTATACTGGTTTCTTATTTCAGCATATATCCTACATTCTGTTGTAGGAATAGCGTTAAGAATAAAATGCACTGGGAAGTGGAAGTGATACATGAAAAGTAACTGACTAGCAAGAGACCTTGAATACAAAATTCTCAGAATTACAACTGGGGATACAAGTGTTCAAGGATGGGCAAAACCAAGTTCATACGTGAAATTTTCATGTTTGCTAAACAAAAGAGGAAAGTCAGAAGTTAGAGAAGAAATTATGCTCTTATAGAAATGAGCTGTATTTTCATTCTAGAAAGAATAACTCAAACTCTCAGGGAAATATTTAAGCATGTATTATATACTCACTAGCTAACAAAAATTATCAGCAAGCTTGGACGCTTGCTGAAGCATAAGTATGTATCAAACAGAGAGGTCCCAAAAAGTACTTAACTAAGTGGAACATGTTCTAAGCAATGAGGTATCCTTCAAGACAGGAAAAGAACTTCACTTCAAGGAGTGATTTGTGAAATGAGCATTAAGTTTTCACTAAACCAAAAAAATTCAGTTGAAATTATATGGGTCTTAGCTAATGCAAGGCAAAAGAAAACAAAGAACAGAGACAAAAATAGAGGCCATAAGAAATATAAGAATAAAAATACACTGCTCTGCAGTATGTATTGCTATTCAGACTTTGGAACTGAATGTCTAAAGTAAAATGTATTGATATTCCAGAATATTTTCAGGAATTGGTTCAATAAAAGATGTGGTACAGCCTATAAAAAATATTGCAAATACTTTTCTTGGGTTTGGGGTTTCTTTTTGCCTCTGTTAGATCCTTCTCTACTAAGCAAGGTAAAAATAAACAGTGTCCTAGCTAAAAGTAATTTCTTCACCGTTAGCATAATGAACTTTTTCTAGTCATATTAACATAACAAAACTGGATTAAAACACAGTAATTGTCAGCATCACTGAACTCACATGACCACAAAGTAAATCTCTAGTATAAAGACTGAATAAGCAAGCAGGATCCATCTGACAAACTTATAAAGCTATGCCACAATGCTGAAATTCCTCAAACATTACACATTTTATTCAAGCATACCCTAAAAAACATTAGGATCAATGCAGGTCTATTTCTATACTTCAAAACAATAATGCATGCGATGTATACAGGCACCAGTAGAATGTCTGAGTAAACTGAAAAATATACAGAAATATCATCGACAGGTACATGTAACACACACTTATTAGTTCTTTGCTTATTGAGAAGGAAACACTTATCTGCTATTATCAGCTGAATTTCCTTCATCTCCCAGTGAGAACATTATTTAACAGGTTAGAACAAACTGGATGCTACAACTTATCTCACCATTTCGTTCAAGCAAGTGAGGGTCAGAATGTTTCTTGCCTATATCTGCAAAAGACCGAACCAGGGGAATCCGATTGCTGAATTTTTTCTCATTCTGATGATGGTGCCTTTTTAGAAGAGCCTCTCTCACGTTTTCTCTTATGGATTCATCGAGCTGGCCGGAGGCAATCATGTTGTCCAAAACCATATCTACACAACAACAACAACGAACATTTTATGTATAGCGATCAAATCTCTCCTTCACCACACTCAAACACTTAAATTGCATGAAATAGTAAGAAAAAAATTAAATCTATTAAAAAAAAAAAAAACAAAACACAAAAGCCTTTTCTTTAGCAAAGTCACCTTCAAGAGTCCACAGGAAATTTTCAAAGATGTCACTAAACAAGCAAATGTGAGAATAAGGAAAGCACAACATGCGGATTCAAAAGACAGTATTTATTAGTAGCACCATTTTAAGAAAAAAAGTTACTTAATACTTGATAATTTGTCGTCATTCACTTCAACTTTATACGTCTACCGCCTTTCAAAAAAAAAAAAACCTATGTATTCAACAACCCTCTATTAGAAGTGAGCATACAGAGACAGAAACACAATGGAGAACAGACTTCTTAAAACAGTCTTAACCTGCTGTTCCCTCTTTTGAATGTATTCAACTATACCAAAGTGAAAGTTATTATAGAATGAGATGAATTCCCTAACTCCTCTGTCACCTTCAGACACTCTAAATTCCTGAGGCTTTCTACCAAACCACATGTGATTCACGTGCTTTAGAAGAGGAAGTGTAAAACAAAAGCTAGTTACATCATCTAAAACTAACTAGTCAGCTGTCAAACAACATCAAGTTTCGAAAGGGAATCTCATCAGTATGCTCACACCAGGAACGAAAGCCTGCATCACTGGGAAAATATCTGCTGTGATTTTTAGCTCCTTTTTTTTAATTAATTAAATTAAAAAAAAAAACAAAACAAAACACACCACCACACTAAAACCTAAACAAATCAACACAAACCTACGTGACCACTTTTAAAATATATTTTTCCAGTCTTAACTGACATAATGAGAACCTAACTGTATTGGTAAACTGCACTTACATAGAACTTTTCACAATGAAGGATGTTATGGCTCAGAATACCTTATAGACAAAGTTATATGCAGCAGTCTGTCAGTACAGTGCAGCTTCCTTCTGGGATTACTGGCAACACACAACCTTTTGTTACAGCTTCTCAAAAGGAAGCTGGCCACCCTTTCCCTCCTGTTTTGAGCGAGAACCAAGAATACCTACTAGGTATTCCTGGCTCAATGAAACAAGACAATACATTTGTATGCCAAGTATTGTTATCCTACATGCTTCGTAATGGCACCTAAAACTAACTTGAAACAAATTCAATCTCTTAAAATATCCTAGTTCCAACTAAAATACCTGCTATTTAAAAAGCGCCGTTTACACATAATTAAGCAACAACTGTTTTTCTTATGTACTACAATTATTGCTAAATTCAATTATTAAAAATAAATTAAAACCCAAAACGTTACTTTTACAAACCATGTATTGAACTCTCTTACTCAGCAAGTCAGGAGAATAGGAAGGGAATACCAATTTCCTGAGTGAAATTCGAAGATTTCAAAACAACAACAACAAAAAAAAAAGTTTCAAGCACTGCCAAATTTTTTAATGCCAAAACATGCCACACATGTTGGGCAGCCCTAAGCCTAGGATGATTCCTGAGAAGGCATTCTGCTGTATGGTACCTGTAGCAAGAGATACCAGGAAAACTATGTAAAACTAGTTCAAAGGCATTCAGGCTAAGCAGGTATATACATACATGTATGAAAAAGCCTTCAAAGCTGATTTTATAGTATCCAAAATGACCATGTGATTAGTGAGGACACTCAACACAGTAGGTCAAACAACACGTACAAAATTTGTTTCTGCTCACCTCTTATAAAGGTGACAAAAATACCAGATGTGCAACAATCAACTGCACTAATGGCATCAAGTTAACATCAGCCAAGTTATGATTAATAATTATGGTACTAAAGTGCATAAATAAGTCCTAAAATGTTCTGGCAGATATTTACATTTCATCTGTAGAAACAAAGACAAAGAACACATTCAGGGATTAGAACATAAAGGCAAATTCTGGGCCTCATCCTAAAAAACGTAATGAGGAGGTCCTACTCATCCAGTGTGGCTCCTTATAAGTGAAGTTTGTAGGATCAGCTCTTTACAACCAGATGAAGAAAACTGCAGTAAGCATGCACATACCTATTTCTTCAATACAGTATTTTCAAGAACATAAGACACCATCAAAAACATCTCAAGTTATAGATTAAAGTTTAGGAATATTTCTTAAAAAAAAAAGTTTTGCTGCAACCTGCTATCTCATCTAGCGTGTTTGCTCTCATGTCCAACATGACCGTCCCATTAAGAATACAGCTTCGCAGTTCAAAGAGACTGTGCAGAGACAGAGTTGCTACATAAGGCTTGCTCCATCGATCACCACCATCTTCAACATCCTCTTCAAATTTTAGCCACCTGAAATGGATACACATATACTTACTTATGTTTCTCCTGGAAGACAGACAATTTAGCAAGTAATCCCATTCTTCCCTGTGACTTCTGCATGACGTGGAACAGAAAATCTAATCAGCTCATACCAGCATACATTTCCTCAGACAACCCAAATGATTGACAGTTACAACATTTTTATCAGGCCTTTTAACCACACTCAACTGCTTTAGTTTTCACCCATTTTCTTTCTTTCGGTTTGAACAATACCTGTCTATTCACAAGTTCTTGCAAACAGTGTGGGGCTGTGCCTTGTTACTTGATTTGCATATCAGTTTCATCGGTATTTTAGGATCAGAAAGCTGTTTGAAACACACCATATGGAATGTTCAAGTCTCCTAGGGTGCTAAGTCAGACATTTAAGAGCTAGGTAACACTAATATTTGTAACTATAAACTGATCTTGACTCCGACTCACGGGCATTATGTAAATTGAACTTCTGCAAAAGCTAGCATGCAATAAGGTAATTAGAAGTACTGAATGCAGAAGAAATTATTACAATGCATATGTGGAAGGAAGCAACGAAACCCATATGGGCCAAAATTAGTTGTGGCATCCTTTAATGTCCACACATGCAATTTGCAAAAAAAAAAAAATTAATCAAATACTATTTACAAAGAACAGAGGGTATTTACATATTTTCTTTATGCTTGAGTAAAAAAAACTGACACTAATATATCAGCAATAATAGAGCAAAGAGATTTCTGAGGTTGTAAATACTGTGCTCCATGGCTGAACACCTGTATTTATAACTAAACACAGTTGTCCCTTTCACAATGCTTGGCATGATCAGTTTTAGGAAAATCAACACAGCACCATTAAGACTGAGTGTCTCTTGAGAAACCATATTGATTCTTCCAGAGTTGGACAAAAACAATAAAAGTTTTAATTTGCTGAGTGTGAATTGAGTGAACAACTCCTATAGTTCACGAAAATTCTACCCTAGACCTGGTTTGTAGTTCTTTGAAATAGAATCACTACAAGATATATGTTGAAACAATCTACTTTTATTTAGCATACCTAGCCGTTTCTTTCCATTCATATTCTTCTCCATCCCTGAAGCAAAGTTCATCCATTTCAGTGAAGAGATCATGGGGAATGTGTTCATCATCATCTTCAGTACCCAAGATAAACTGCACTCGTTGGGATGGCGTGTCTTGAAGAAAAGCATAAACGGAACAATTAAAAGAATTCATACTTCTATTATGCAATAAACACCACATAACAGTTAAATCTCCTGCTCTCAGCTAGAAATATGTAGCACAATATCCTCTTCAAGAGGGAGGAGGAAAAGAAACATGGACATTTCTTTAGAAGGAGACTCTTTAAAATTTTTCATTGTTTCTGAAAGCAAAACATCTGGAAATTTGTATTTATGTAACACAATTAAGTATTTTTAGCTCTTCTACAAAGTGAGAATACAAAAATAAACATCAACAGCAAAATTAGTAAGAAAGTAAAAATTAATATACCAAAGGGCTAGAAACCTTGTTTTTACTTTGAGAACAAGATGAATGATACCATCATGACACAGACACGTACTAAATGAGAGAAACAAAAAAAACCACACAAAAGAAAAAATTAGGTTGATAGAATAAATACTCTGACTTATAGACTGGCTGTCCTAGTAATAGTTCAAGATGCTAAATAGAGATGGCTTTTTTCTTCCCCCCACCCCCCTACTCTACATAGTGGGTACCCAGGTACTCATTATTAGAGACGCAGACTTTTCACCAGCCTGTCGCTACCAATGTAGCATACAAAAAACTATTACCTTTCTCATTGCATGGTTGGATGACTGTACATAAATTAGCATAGGAAAGTAGAAACTACACAGCTAAAATGTTGAGGAAATATTTTAACTTCTCATAGTATAATGCTTAATGGAACAGGCTCAGTAATAACTTGTAATAAAATTTAACTTTTTTGATCCAATATAAGTAATGAGCTTCACTGCTATGAGCAAAACTTTTAAAAAAGCAATGATAAAAACCCCACAGTTTTAGCAATGTTTTTAATACCTATATTAAGGCATTAAGATCTTATTTCAACCCAAGGAAGAGCATTTAAATTACAAGGGTTCAATAACGTAGTATTCACAATCGTACCTCAAGGAAGGTCAGAGATAGAAATCCAGGTACATCCCAATTTTAAAAACTTTATTATGTTCACTGAAATGTCACTCTCACAGCTGCTAGATCTGACCATACAACTGTATGCTTCCAGTGCAGAAGGAAGACCGCCTTTTAGATTCAGACATAAGATCTGAATGACTAATAAACTTCTTCCAGAATTGAATTTTGCTTTTGCATTGTTGTTGTAGCATACATCATCATCTAGTAACATAATTGTGAAATGAACTCCTCAATACAAACAACATTCATTATCAATGAAGACCTACAGCAGATTGTTTCTGTCCCAAACCCAACATATCCCAAGAATCCTGCTGCATCCTGTGTATCCAGGATAGAGAAGTGACCAGAAGAAAGAAGTTAATTTCTATCTATTTAATATTACTTGCTGTTTCAGAACCTGTATAGCAAGACTCTACATAAGATCAAATGATGATAATTTGTATTTGGGTGGGAAACTTTTGAAGATGGATGAAACTAAGAACTAGAGGAGACTAGTAAAAGTGTACTTGTCAAAGCATTCCCATGTGAAAACTCCTTTGTTTCAGGGAACTGGCCCCATGTAGAACATGGTTCTAGTCATGGTGTCCACGTTTTAAGTGTAACATTGCACCATAACTTTCCCATTCATTACAGTCCAGGAATAAAAGCGGTTCTGAGATCTTGAAGAAAAACTGCTGAGCGTACTGCCGAGTAATTTCATTTCAGAGAATGATATGACAAAGTTGTCATCTCTTGAGGATAAGGTGCAGGCCATGGGGGTGGAGTCTGATCCAAAACAAAAACTTAGGAGGCAGTACAGTTTTTTTAATAACAGAGGGCAAGAAGGCTGAAGTAAATGTTTTAATAGATCATTGATCAAATTACCACGGCAAATGCTGCTTCACAGCTCTGTTCAAATTCTCAAAAATCTTGAGTGACAGAGAAAGAATAACACAAGACTACACAATCTGAAAAAAAGGTGTCTAATTTAAATAACACAAATTTGTATGCTACAGGTGAATATTATGAAGCTCTAGTCCAACCTATTCAGTGCAGGCTGCTAAGCATTCATGTAGACACCTGGATGAAGTACAACAGCTTATGATTTAGGTGAAACACGACCACAAAATCCTTGGCTGCTTGTACATAGAAAGACATTAACTACAGTGAGAATAAAAGAAACAGCACAAAACAAACAATATTTAAGCACAGAGTAACTACAACAAGTATATTATCAAGAGACACAAAACTCACACAACAGATTTCTTACCATATGATGGAGATTCTCGGCCATCCTCTCTGTCAGTTTCTTTTTCTTTTTTTCTTCTGTGATGCCTGTGCCCTCGATGCCTATGCCGTCGACGGCCTTGCTTTCCAAATGGGACGTGAACTCCAATATACACAGCTCTGTGACCTTTTCAAGAAAATTTAAAAGGAAACAATTAAACAAAAACCGACATCCTGCCCAAATTTAGTGTCTTAAGTCAAAAAGACAAGGAGTTTGACAAAAAGAACCCCAAAAGCACTTGGCAAAACTACCTTTAGTGAACTAATATTACCAACTCAGTTGTGAAACAAGTAATATAGAAACACAAGCTTGACCTGTAACACTGAAAGAAGTTACTTGATAAACACCAGGTCAAGGCAGAGAAATTACATGATACTCCTCTTGTTTGCAGGGACTGTTATCAGGATAGCCATTACAATGGCAAGATGTAATCTGCTAGTTCAGTTTACGAGCTTCATTAAGAAATTACCCATTGGTTAGAGTCTGCTTGAATGAACTGCCAATATTTCTTCAAGTAGCACATGACACATCTAGGTGAACCTGATGTTCAACTATACCATTAATTTAGTACCCTTTTAGGACTGTAAAAGGAACTTATATTTGCAAGTGTATGCCAAAACATCAAACAACCTACAGAGAAGGCTGGGAGGGGGTGGGGGGTGTCTATTCTAGAGCTTTTAAATAAATTTAAGTAGTGCAACCCCAGATTAATACATACTGCTCTTTAAAACATGTACTTTCGACATCTTGTTTTTCCTTTGGCCTTTCACATTAAAGCAATACTAACATCAACAACCTTGCAAAAGAAATCAATCAACAGATTGTTATGAACATATTAGTACCACATCTCCTGTAAGGGAGTTAGCATATACAATAACCTTTTCAATTCCTTTTTAAACAAACAATCACAGGAAGACACACATTAACTATAAGCCTGGAGGTTAACACTAGATACTTTGTTTCATACTGTAGAGGAGTTATTACAGAAGACTGACATTAAGAAAAGGAAAAGGAAGTGGTTTTCCAGCTCTTAAAAGAGATGCAAATTCAGCAAATTTATAGAGGACAAGCAAGCCCTAGGAGTCCTGACTGTACAAATTCATGCATGTATGTATGTGTGTATAGCACACACACACACACACACACACTAGATTAAGGATACTGAAAAATTCTGGTGATGACAGAGCTTTAAAGAAATAACAAGTGGTAGTATGTCAAACTTGTTTTCCAAGAAAAGAATATCTAAGGCCAAAAAGGTACACAAAACTTTTATATATCAGTATTTTTACAGTACTACTTGAGCAGAAAGACTAAACAAAAATCAGGAATAATGCATGAGTAAGTTCAATGTTTAATTAATTTGGTCAAGATTCCTTTTCAAATTACAAGACCTGATTCTTGACAGACTTCCAACACCAGCTTTAATTAGAGTCAACTGATTGGCACTATGACCAAATCTGAAATTAAGCATATTAAAAGCTATTTGTTTCCCTGTAAGAGTGGAAAACAGATTAATTTGTTGAAGCATTCATCAGTCCTATTTATAGAGAAAGACTTTTCTTTTGTGAGCTTCTTCCAACAAGAACATTCAGCCCCTGTCGGGCAGCCTGCACGATGCAATGCCCAGAGAAATTAATGCAAATATGACACCTAAACATAAATCAATGCACTTGATAGATAATATGACTAGGTACCATTAACAATGGTGATGTTACTGATACCCTCGTGACACAATAATCTTATGTATAGGGAAGACAAAAGTACTAGATTCAAAAATAGCTGCATTACTCACCACACCCCACTCAAAGCTGCCTGGTGCAAGCGAGTAACCCACCACTCACTGCAAATGCTGTTATCATCCCTCCTGGGATTTTTCTTTCATTTTATATATTCAATTAGCAAGTATTAAACTGTAGTTATATATGTATACACACACAGTTAAACGGTTTTATTCATCGTCAGTGTTTGATTTTTTGCATGTACTATTGTTTCCCAAGAGAAACTCAATCATATTTCTAGTAATAAAAGCATTTTATATTATCAGCTTTTTAAAATATTCTTAATAAGACTGTTTTAAGCATGCGTTTTGATCATTGCACAAGAAAATCTTGCAGGTGATTACTTTCTAGAAAATTTCAGGCACCTGAAATTGTTCAAGATTCTGCTTCCTGAAAAATTAGGAGGACTTCCACATTTCGGTCTCTTGCTGTTCCCATAAACTAAGACAAAAATCCCACATTGCTTTCTTTACTAAAGAACAAACAAAAACCCTATAAATTTTTTTTCAAGAGCCTCCATCTTAAACAGTGCACCCTGCTATCGCAAAAATTAGCATTTGTAATAGTGTGATCATTTACATAGTCAAAGACCATGTTGCTGCATGGAGAAGAGGTGAAACAAGGAAATGAGAAGTTTATCTCCTATTACAAAACTGTAGTCCGGTTGAAAATTTTTTTTTCAGTAGAAAAGTTTGGAGGAGACCAGGTATGTTGCAAGGGAACAGGTAAAAGCTAGAGAAAACCCAGCTGAAATAAGCAACAAACTGAAGGTGTTTTTAAACAACCTGCAACCATAATTGCTTTCCTACCCAAAAAGCACAGACTTCTCAGCTACTATGTCCAGGCGCCTCAGAGCTGCTTGAAGGCACACTAAGTAGGCACTGCCAACTTAGTCCTCAGCCTGAGCAGTCAGCCCACAACATATGATATTGCTTTCTACTCCAGAAGGGAACTTTCAAGGAAGTGCCTTCTCACTACCCTAACAGATTAGGGTATCACAAGGACAGGGGAACACGCTAGCAGTGGGTTACCCTACCCTTCAGCCCACACTGCCCAGAAGCGACTATTGTATGAATAGCTATTTCCTCATGTAGACACTGTTGTGCAGGCAAGTGTAAAACAAGAATACCTCTCCCAGATCACTTCTGTATATGCAAAGTGATCAGACTGCTACACCTGCAGCTGAATTTTGGGACTAACGTGAAATGATGACGAGCAATATGATTTTCAGCTATTATTAATTAAAAAGCATCACAATCCAATGTAATTCTATCAGAATGACTTCAAGAAAAAACTTGATGTTGAAGAAGAGCCTCTAAAATTATTTTTGTTTTCTTTTTCAAAGCAAGCATGAGGGGTGGCAATACAATAGACTAACCAAGGAAAGTCTGGCCACTGCGAACGGCAGCTTATGAGTGCACCAGACTGTTCCTTAAGAAAGGGACCTTTTTTTAGTACCACAGACATTCATAAACAAAGAAATCCACTACTACCTAGCAAATACAAAGCTACTGCTGTTGAGTATACTACCATGATTACCCAAACACACGTTGCAGGTATATTCAGCAAAACTGTATAACAAAAGTTGGACAAGCTTTACATTGATTCTAACTCTACAAAGTAAAGCACTGAGAAATCCTCTGAAAATAAAGACAGCTGTATTGAGTAGGTCTGTGTTCCCTTAAGTTTCATTATTCAGATAGGAGCAAATTATGTTTGCAGATGGATAAATCAAGATTTACTTATAAATACAATTTACAAGGAAAAACAAAAACACACAGTTTTTTTTTCCTTCGTTCCCAATGAATTGAGCAAAACAACTTACAGTTCCTCTCACCCTGGCCAAGAAGAAGCCAGAAAGGCAAGTAATATAAATGCAATGTAGAAAAAGTTAACCCTAAAAAGGTCTGAACTCATATTACTAGCATCAGTTTTATTTCTAAAAGGAATGCAATCTTTCACTTGAATACTCTTTTAAAAGCTTGAAAGGTACAATTATGTGACCTTCAAAGCTTTATTCACACAAACATCTGTACCACAGTACTATTCTTAAGCAAAGCTTGTTATAGAATTACTTTAAACCAATAATCAATAGAATTAGTAGAATGCCCAATACTAAATTTAGTAATACAAAGCTCAAGAGATAATTGTTCATTTTAATCTAACATGACTTTATCCAAGCTTAGCTGTTCAAATCCACGAAGAGTATTTACTACTTAAGGTCCTTATCAGTATGAAACAAATTTAAATGTTAGGAGCTTGCTACACGTCTCCATCACATGGTTGGTCTTACTCCAAAAGTCAGTTTATATCAAGTCCTAGAATTCCTGACAGAATAGAAAATGCTCTGTTTAAGTTCCCTGATTTCTTCCCAAAGCCCCTAAGAAAATGGTAATAGAAAACTTCTAAAGTTCAAGAGATCAAAAACATGTATCCAAAAATGCTCTGATGTGGCAACCCCATAAGTACAATTCCACAAAGAACCTTCTTTTTTCTAACCAGCTAAATGCCTTTTAAGCTTCGTACAAAGGACATTCTTCCACACGTTAAGAAGGGAAAACGAAGAAAATCCAAGTTAATATCTATGTGAATTCTCAAATCCTGTTACTTAGAAATTTGAACTGCAGAGATTATATATTAATTATGGTTGTAAGCAACATCTGGAGGTGGGCTATCGGGTCCAGTCTTGCTCAAAGTATAGCCAACTTCAAAGCTGAAGTCATCTTTCTGATCAAGTTGGTCAGGATGACAACCAGCCAAGCTTTGACTATCTGTAAGGACAGATACTGTTAAACCTCCAGGGCTGTATTCTCAAATCTCCTTTTGCTCCTAGTAATTAAGTATATCTGAGAATACGCTCTTTATACTAAAATACTTGGACAGATAAAATTGAGAAGCAGAATCCAAAAATCTAGTATGCATAGCATACAGTAAAGCAGCTCAGTAAGAGTGTTTTCTCACTACACAATGAACGAGAGCATCGTATTACGCTGACTGGCAGAAGCAGTAAATGCCAGATTTCTCATTACACACAAGTGGTTTTTTTTTTTTCCTGAGTTAAAACCAAATACAAGCTGGTAGTGGAAGTCATAAGAGAAAAATGCACTGAATGTTTCTATTTGACACAATCAATATCATTCAAGAAGGCGTTATCAGTAATTACATTAGACATGCAAGTAGTAACAGTAATAGGAAAAGCTTAGTGCCAGCTGACAGAGCTGCCCAGGGATTCTAGCACTGTAAGTCCACCCCAGGTCTTTGTGGTCCACTGCCAGCACCGATCTCCCTCACACCAAGAAAAGGAGCCAGCACTTGGTACCTGTGGGAGGGGGACTAGGTGCCCTTGCA